TTCTATTCTATTCTATTCTATTCTATTCTATTCTATTCTATTCTATTCTATTCTATTCTATCCCATAAATAAATATGGAAACTAGTTTGAATACACAAATACACAGCAGACCCCCACCCTGTGTATAAATAAACATGGTAAAGGTGTGGAGAAAGGCAAAAATAAAATAATTTCTCAGAATATGAAATAGATGCACTAGAGTCAGTGGTAAAGGCAAGGAGTAAAATTGTATCAATGTTAATAACAAACAAACAAACAAAAACAAAAGAGATGGCAGAAGGTGGCACATACGTCAAACGTCTTCTGTTACAAATACAGTCCAGTTGTTTTTGTATTGAACGTTTTTTGAATTGATCATGTCCTGGATGACTGAGAATCTTCACCAGCATAAGGTGGCACATACTGTTAATGCAGGTCCTTGACTGAAATTTTAAAAGAATTAAAGGTCTGACATCAAAGTTGATGTCAAGAAATGAGTTGCTGCACACCGAGGTAGTGCTTCATTTGTTTTATCTGCGCATCATATGAATGAACCTGTCCTAAATGACTGGCATGGCATGGTTCAGGCAGGACTGTGAAATAATCAGCCTGTCAACCAGCTCTGTGAAAGACTCCGAGTCGAAGAAGCCTTACCATGGTGAGGACTTGAACTGGCACCAGCGGTGCACGATTCCTCCTAGTTTCCCTCCGTAATGCTGGGGCTAATTCAAAGCAGTGTTCCAAAAGAATGGCCCTGAGACGTTAAGTACCGTACTTGCTGCCGTACACATTGCACCACTGTATAAGTCACATCAGTCCAAATACGTAAAACATCAATTCATTGCTTCACCGTATAAGTTGCTTCTATTATGTGTCACTGCTGACAACCCGGAAATGTGGAAATGTTCTGCCAAAAATAAATTGGCGGCTGCAGGAGTGTGCACAGGAGGACTTTAACAAGAATTTAACAAGATTAACACTTAAAAACAATTATTTGTTTGCTCGAAATTATAGCAAAGGTGTGTCTCAGTTGAACTTTTCCTTAATAAATGCACTTCAATGGTCAAATCAGCTGTATTTCCTGGACGGCGCGGCAAAATGCAGCTGATTTGACGTTTGCTCCAGGAGCGAGATGAAGGTAGCTTGTATGGAAAGCCAAGTGCCTCATTAATAGCCACTTTAACCTATTAATGAGACACTTGGCTTGCCATATAACTCGAGCACCCTCTAGCAGCTGAAAATGGTAGTGATCAAGAATTTCCATGTCAGAATGAATGAAACTGTCAGATCTCAGATGGACATTGGGTTATAAATATGGGGGGGAAAACATAAATAAGTCGCCTTGGACTATAAGTCGCAGGGCATGCAAATTATGCAAAAAACTGCAACTTATAAGGTAAAAAATACAGTATTCAGTAAACGGTCATATCTCAGCCAAAAATTAGTTTATAAATATGGGGGGAAAAAACATAAATAAGTTGCTTCGCTGTATAAGTTGCAGGGCGTTCTAATTTATGCAAAAAGGTGCAACTTATACAACGAAAAATATGGTATGTATATAACACACATAGAGATAAGTAACAGCTCAGTCCTTCCCAGTTCTTCCATTGATGATGTCCTCCAGCAGCACTGAAGCTTCCATTGTTCCACCGTTACACACGACTTTACGCAGCTATTAATGTCTGTGTGTCATAGTCTACACGTTGTTCACGTTAGGAATCATCACACCTGACTTGTTCAGCGTGAATGTGATGATCCAACACTGTTTTCTTCTCAGTGAGAATAGAAATGCCTCTTAGACAACAAGTCACATTTTGTATGCCTCAGTTGTCTGTGTGCCTCACAAGTGTACACACAGTGATGCATGTTCACATCTGCGTTGGACAAAATTAAAGGAAAAATATACAAATTAAATTGAACTAAGCTTGTTTTGATCGTGTGATATACATTAGGTTGTATGAGGTTTATTATGGTTCAGTTCACTGTTTGGATTTGAACCAAAAATGCTCAAATTTATGAGAAAATGTGCTCAAATATCCTTTGGTGCAGAAAACAGTCATGTTTCTGTGGATTTGGCAGCTTTCAGTACTTTGTAGTTTGATACTGTTGACTGAAAATGTTTGGGTACCCCCCCCTCGATGTTTTTCAATCCTTGGGATTTATCAAAGATAAATTTGTGTAAGGCCAGCAAGCATCAGGTAACTTCATTATTTAAAATAATGTTATCTTAAAGTGACTACATTTTCCAAAAGTTCATCTCAGTCCATGTAAACTTGACTTGATAAACTGTAATGGTGCAGTTGATTTGGCATTACTGTAAACATTTGGTCATTTACTTTGAGTTTTTTGATTATTTACTGATGCCAGCAGCAACAGCTGAATGTTTCTACTGCAATAGGAATGTAATGCTTGAACAAAGCAGTGTGAAGTGTTATATAAAGTGTTCACATTAACAACTTTTAACATCAAAGTTGTTTTAAGACCACAACAGTTCACTTAAGTCTTGGCTCTGCTTGAAGCTATTACATATATTACAAATATTCAAATGTTATACGTTCAAAGAGCTAACTACAAAAAATGCAATAGTATTTCGCTTCAAATTTTTTTACAAAAGTATCTCTTTAAATATAATAGTTTGCAAAAATAATAGCCAAAGTATTGGAAATATATTTTTACTCAAACAATCTAATGACATGTTTAGAAACTTATTAGCAAAATAGCTTTTCTGTGACTAAGGTGTGGATATTTTCTGCCTCTGGGCCAACATGCAGCTCCACTTTCATCAGCAGTATATTTTTCCCTTAAAAGTCCTTGTTCAGCATGACCTGAACTATTTGTACTCTGTGCAAAAATACATGTAGGTGAGGAGTCTGTCCTGCTGAGATATTGCTCAACATTTGAAACTGTCATGGCTGTGAAAGTTTTGTTTCTCAGACTGACCATATAAAGTGAAATCACAGTTAAACTAACAAACTTATCTTGGCTTTACATGAAGACATGTTTTGTTTATTAATAATTAGCTTTGGAGAGAAAATGAAGATCATAAAGGCTTCCTGCACAAAAACACCTGTGAAAAATGATTACGATTATGATTATATGCATAATTATGAGAGTCTGTGCTCTGTGTAATATGTCCAAAGCACTGATATGTGAACAGCCAATAAGTGTTTACTGAATAGTTGATCTACCAGCATCAGTCGCTCTTTACCAACTCCTTGTGCTCTGTTGATCTCACTCATTAATTAAGGTAAACAATGTACCAACTTCCATTTTGGTCTGTATTTACATGTAAAACAGGTCAATATCAAAAATCGGGTTGCCACATCAACATCCAAGATGGCCACCACCATTTATAAATATATAAGATATTTATATATACAGTATGTAAAGAGAAGAGCCCGATTATTTGAGTAAACTATGCTTTCAAATTTTTATTTAACTTCAAAGTTTAGTTTCCTCAAATGATTGGGATGGAGAAATAATATCCTATGTGGGTCCAGGCCACCACTGGCCACCCCCTAGCTCCACCATTGCCTGGTGGGTAAGGTGGCTCCCTCTACATTTCAGGGTCCGTCACTCTGTGTTGCCTTGGACAAGCTAAAAATAAATAAATAAAACAAACTACCTCTGCTCTTCTGCACAGTGTAACTCCTACAAACTTGAATATCTTGCACCAAAAACATTCAAGTTTTCTTACATTTTCTGTTCAGTTCTAGTCCAGAAAAACACTCATCTCTAAAACTACAAACACTCACTATTCAAATCCCTCAGAGATGGGGGACATCAGCGAACCGCTTATAGCACATACATGTTTTCATTACTCCAAACTCTTTAAAAATATTAAAGTGCCAATTTACCATAAGAATTAGATGTGAAGATGCTGACATGTTGACCCGTCCCCTGCATGTGTCAGCTGTATGTCAGTGCTGCCTTGAAGGCATTCTGTGTGTGTGTGTGTGTGTGGGGGGGGGGGGGGGGGGGGTGTCAGCAATCAGCAGCCAAGTGGTCAGTAACATTTTGGAAACCTCAGTGGGAGAGATGACGGCCAGTGGGAACCACTCAAAGCTTTGAGAATCTCTCAGCAGGTTTTGGACATAAATGATGCTCAGCCTCACACATTTATCACTCATTCACAATAATACAACAAATGACCGGTTCTTAACGCTCTCATCCTGATCCAAATTGTTTTAGGTCCATATCTGCCCCTCTCGTCCCTCGCTCCCAGCTCCCCTCCTCGCTCTCTGTCTCTGTGCCAGTTCTCAGAGTGTCAGTGAAAAGTGCTGTTGTCAGCTGACATTTCCAATCACTCCCCCGGTCTCCCAAACTCCGGACACACTTTTAACGTCTGGGGACAGAGCAGAACGTGAGCGGAATTTAAAGAGAAGCACGAGGGCGATTTCTCGCACACTCACCAGCTTTAACTCACACTTGCTGTCTGTCTCGCTCACACTTGTCACGGACTCATTACTCCTACCATCTATCATCCATCTATATTTTGGCTTGTCATAGCCGAAGGAAAATCATATCTGGACTGACTGCAGTCTAGTTAAAGGTTAGGTGAGCTGCACAGTTTTTTTTTTCATGGTGCATTCTCTCTTAAAAGATATGAGCCTTTGTGATAAAAGCATGTAGGAAGAATATATTGTGAAAAAAGTCTCTCATGTTGATTTTGGCTGTAAATGAGATTGTCTCGCTCTGTTGTGCTCAAACTGAGCATGAGCAAAGTAACACAGTCAGTTGTCACATAAGACACTTTAAACAATCCATACATTTTATTTGCAGCGTTGAAAAAAAAGATGTCTTTTTGTTTAAATGTGTGGTTGTTTGCCTTGTCGTGACTAAACTTGTTGTGATGCTGTGCTGCAGACTCGTGCACGCCGCTTAGGGTTCCTTGGAGCTGCTGATTTAAACTTCATAGAGAACCCTTTTGGCAGACGAGCTTAATGTACCAGGG